AAAATATTTCGGATATTTAAGAATATTTATAAGGTCTACGGATCACGGTTGCAAAAATCTCCACTTTTATTGAGACGACTTGCAGTTTCTTCTCGATTGAGAAGTTATCATGGATCGAAAAACGGAGGACGGAAGCTGCCTATAATCTCGATAAATTCACGTGTCTGCTTTTCCGCATTGTTACAAACGAAGAATCGTTTCCACGCGTCCGCGGGATTCGAAGCTCGACGAAGGGTTGCATCAGTTGCTTTCAGTTACGGAACTCACCGTAAGACTCGGTGATCTAATCGCGAAATCCGCGAGCGACGCGGTCCGAATTGAATTTCCTCGGCCTTAAAATTCGCTTTCCCCGAGTTCCGGCGTGGACCGACATAAGATACGGAGACCCTCGTCTTTGAGGTACCCTCAAGAGAGGAAAAAAAGAGAGAGAGAGAGAGAGAGAGATCGGGTATTCACGGCGGCGCGCCTCGATAGCTCCGTTGTGCTCCGTCACCTGCATTTTTAAATCAACAGAATGGAGAAGGAGCGCGCGGACTAGCGGACGCTGGGGAACGCTGAGGGCCGGGGGTGGCGGTGCACTTAATGCGTGCATTATTAATCGGCGCCCGCGCGTGTATACTCCGATCCCGCGAATACGCGGACCCGTGTATTTCCGCCGTCCAACCACCGTGATATCGCGTTCGTCGCACACAAGGCCGTGTGTGCCACCGCCACCGCCGCCGCCGCCGCCGCCGTCATCGTCGTCGTCGTCGTCGATGCGAGAGAGAGCGAAATAATCGGCCCGATTCGGACTTCGGAGCCACCCTTAACTTGCCTTTCAGGGCGAGAGTGTTCGAGACAAATTTACCTGAAATATATTCAAGAACGAAGTAGAAATAACGAAAGTTCTCTCCGCGTGGGAATGCTATCGCGAGAGAGAAAAAGATCTCAAAAATTCGAAGGCGAGCGTCTTGGCGGAAAATTTTTCAGCATCAATCTTTATTCGCGCGAGAGACGCGCAATTTGCAACGTATATCTGACGAACTCGTGTTCGCAATCAGGGCTACTTTACCGTGTTAATTCAACGTAACGTTCGCGTAAGTTGCTTAGCGATCGTCCGGACCGGAGGGGAAGGGAAGCGACATGGTCAAATTCGTCGAGAAACGTACGCGGACTCTGGAGGCGGCGCGCGTGTGCGCATGTGCGCGCCGCATAAATTCGGTACTAGTTCAATTTCCAGTTTCCAGCGCTATACGAGAAACTGAATCTTACGCCGCGAGGGAGGATGGGCCGTTTTCGCGTGCGGATCGCCGAATCCGAAACCGCCGAAATTACACGAATTATTTCTCTCTCTTTTCCTCTCTTCTTCTCTATTGTTCCAACATGCATGTACACACGTCTATACATGTACATATACACATATATGTGTGTATGTGTGCACTGCAAAATTCTCTCACCTGATGAAAGTGGAGTCCGCAGCGGGGCTGGAAGGTCTCGGCGAGGAGCTCGCGGTGGACGCCGTGTTGGTCTCCTCCACGTCCATCATCGTTCATACCGATGACGGCCACCACCACCAAACACCAGCACCACCACCGCTATGCGATACGCGATAACCCGCGAAAGGGGGGGAGGGGGGGAGCGAGCGAAGGATGGACGGGAGGGTTGATAACGGATGACGAGGAACGGGGCAGCGCGACCGCGACGAGCACGACGATGGCGACGAGCCACGCGAGGAGGTCGACCGCGACGACGATCAACGAGCGAGGAAGTGGGGGGAGGGGACCGAGCGTTACCCCGGAGCAGTCCGGTTCCCGCGCGGGTGGAGGGGACGAAGGGAGAGGACGGGGGGCAGAAACCACCGAGTCGAGGGAGCTCGAGAGCCGTGCGACGGGGGATGATCGGGGGCTGGTTTCACGGCCCGTCGTCCGCGAGCGCGGGCTTACGGGTAACAACTGGCGAAACGGCGCCGCCACCCGCCACCCGCCGTCCCTGCCGCCCCCTCGCGACACGGCCGCGGGGCCGCGGGGCGCCGCGATGCCTGGCAAACCTGCGCCCTGCGCGGCCTGCGCCCTGCGCCGCCAAGCACCTGTCGTCGTCGCGCAGGCGTCGCGACGCGCCTGCCCCGAGATCCGTGTGATGATCCGTTCTCCGTTCCCGAGGCCGAGGTCGCGCCGAGGGACGCGAATCTCTCCCGAGCGAAACCCTCGGAATGATCCCAATTTTTCCGACAAACTTTCAGCACTTAAACCCGGCTTTTAATATTTAATGTAAAATGTCGATATTTTTGGAGAATGTTTTATGAAGAATATATGAAAAGTGAAAATAGATCCTTTTTAGATAGATAAAATAATAATTACAAGTACGATATTGTAAATATAGACGTAGTATCGATATTTCGTATAGATATCGATATATAGCAATAATATTACTCGACAAAACTACCCCTTGCAGATATCGCGTTACTTTCAAACGCTTGAATAAATAATCCCAGATTTAACAGCTTTTTTCTTTTTTCTATACAAATTTAATATTTATGATTGTATACATGAGTGTGTAGACAATTATAATTATTACGTTACTTTTGGTATTTCCTATACATCTTATCCGCATCGTAATTGAAATATTGTCTTTACTTATTCTTAATCCCCTATCTTCCCCGAATGATGAAATCTTGCAAAAGTTTCTCCCACCAACAGTGGAAATACCAAAGTAGCGTCAGCGCACACCTGAGACAGAAGCAGCGATGTCACTTGATAATTCGACTATAATTGTAATTAAGGAGCCTATTCTGTAAACGTTAATTAACATCATTACGTGCTTTGCGCAGATATAATATACCGTAGAAAAGCTGCGCGAAGCACGTAACAATATCTCGTTAACGTTTACAGAATAAACCACTAAATTGAAAATCAACGGTAGTAACCGCGGTTACCTTAACAGGATCGGCGTCCTTACGAATTTTTCCCCAAGAAATCGCTTCCTCGGGCCGGGCGCCGCTGTCGCTGCCGTCAAAGTCCGAAGAGGTGTTGATGAAAACGGCGTAGTCCGCGCCGTTCCTCTGAAATAAAGTACCGTTACCGTCGGGCGACTGCAAACACGTCAGGACAACATGCCAAATAGAGTTACCGTCTCACCATGAGATTAGCATTGCAGATGTGATGCTTCACCACTCCACCTCCGACAATTATCATACCGCTGTTCACCGCTTTCATAGCTATCCTGTTTAATCTCTTGACATCTGTGGAAGATTGAAGATTCATCGATTCGTACGCGTTATATGTAGACAAGTGAATGTTACGTCGGATACGTTAAAACCAACCCGCGACAATGTCAAGGACGAGTCCTGGATTTTTGAACGAATGGAAGAACATCATATCCCCGAGACTACCGTCGGTCAATGCCGGGCAAAACACCGGGATTTTATTTTTCGCGGCCCAATAGTAGATTGAATCTTCATGATTGATCTCCTCGCCGAGTCTAGCTATCATTTTAGACGGGGTCCATGAAGTGCCCTGAAAAGTAATTCAATCGTAGGAATAAAAAACGCACGCCGTACCGCGTCTAATTCACAATCACAGGGTCTGTTTTCTATTGCTGAACTAGTGTACACTCTCTGTACTTAAAATGAAATAGATATATGCAATTTGGCAAAAGCGAGAAGGGAAGTTCTAATGCAATCCAGTGCAGCAATAAAAAACAGACCTATAATTACAACGACGACTTTACCTTCGCCTTTTGTTCAGCCAGCATCGCGTCTAACTTCGGCATTAGCCAATCCTCGAACAGACAATAATTATCATTCGGTACCAATAAATTTCCCGTTCTATTAAGTCCATTTTCCCTGAGCTTTCTGTCGTCCAAGTAGAAGCTGCCAACATACGTGGGCGCCAAACATTTTATGAAATCCTCTTCCACTCCACCAGCTGTGGTAACGAGACAATCTACCTGCAGAATGTCTGTCTAAAGTCGCACAGTACAATAAGATATCTATTAAATAAAACCGTTAAACGTATCCTACCAGTTTATGTTGTACAAGAAATCTTATGACATCCCTTATGCCACTGGACACCATATTCGACGTATAGCCCAGAAATATTGTACAGTGGTATTTCCTTTTTATAAATTCATCCTCTTCCGACTCATCCAGTTGATCTCCCATGAGAAGTATGCTCCTTTGGCGCAGCATTCGATTCACTTCTTCGATCGCTCGTCCAAAATTTGTGGCTTGGAATCCACAACTTGCCATGGTCGCGAACAGTTCGTGATAGTTGATCCCCTTATTAAAATCATAACCTAAACATACAATTTTCTTATTATTGTCTGTACTTTTTACGACAATAGTAACGGTAATGACGAGTATTAATGGAAAGTGGATACCTTTTACTGGATTTGTATAAGGCGACAAAGAACTGGTGGAAACCAAGACGGCATTCTTTGCCAACTCTTGCTCTTGTAAATCCTGCTTTCTTTCTGCGTCACCCATAACAATATTTCTGGTAATCTTAAAAGAGACAAATAATAAATTAATCACAGTATAAGAAATTGCTGCGTGTATGTGTGTTGATCATATCATTAATGATTAAGTATTAATAAAATATATTCTCTATGTGACATCTACCAAATCATGGTATAACCGGCAAACTGTGATTCTTCATAAGAAGTTAGTAAAAAGTACAGAAAAAATTTTAAATCAAGCAGTAGCTTTCGAGAAAAATAATATATGAGCGATACGCGTGTATTTAACTACACGTTGTCATTAATTTATCTTAACACAAGATTTGATCCTAACCTGTCAAAATAACCTGTGTTTCTTGGGACGCTTTTACTAGGCCGTACAGTAGCGCCACACATCCACTTTCAGGAATTGGAACTACGAGTCACATCCACTTTTCGATACTGTCGATGAATTTGGTTCATGTCCGTGCTATCAGAGAGAAATATTTCTTTTATTATTCTTCTTTAGTAATTAGAAACGCCGATTACAAAATAGCATAGGATGATAATGTAGATAATACGTTGATATTTTTACCTACATCGAGACGAGATCATTACATATACACATAACACATGTATTACACATACATATACATATATATGTATGTATATGTGATGCAGAGAAAATTAAGATGACGATGTAAATGAAACTATTTTATTATTTAAATTTGTGCAGTATTTATTTGTGCATTGTATATAAAGAATATACCAAGGAATACGTCTATAAAATTAATTTATAAATAATTTATAAATTATATTTTTATAATAAAATATATAATAACTTAAATATAAATACCTATAAGTTTATTTTTTATTTAAATAATATATAAAAATATTAAATTAAATAATATATTACGTGATACTAATATATAAATTAAAATTTATATTAGTATCACGTAATATTAATTTACAAAACGTGCCTCTTTAATTAAGAAAGAGGACGTTTCATGCGTACTCCACGGTGCGTGCGTGTATTTTAATAGATATATATATTTTATATATATTTAAAGTTTATATAAATTTCTCTCGCAATATACGGTATACAAAATTATAAACAGAATTTAACTCTATCCCAAATTCCGCCACGAAATTCTATATACATATCTATACTAAAATTTAAGCAACTTTAACCGAAATATATATCGCGGCAAAAAATGATGATTAGAATTGTACGTTCCATTCCTCGATTCCTGAATATGCATGTATATGAATATATGTATATATATATATAATGATATATATGTATATGAATCGATTATTATTTTTTTGTTACAGAGAATATCCACGCGGGAAGAAGTATCAGCTTCGCATCGAGGAAACACGAGGAACATCCCGAGCAGCCTAAAAGAAGGTGGTGAGTGTAATTGATTTTCACGTAGGTACTATGTCATTTATGTCACAAGTTTTCTATTTCTTCTGTCTTTACTTAATCGAATCGTTCATTTGAATGTTTCAGAAAATAACGACGCAGAAGGTGACATCGGAGCAACGAGGGAATCCTGCGTAGCTGACATCCCGAGCAGCCTGAGAGGAGGAGGAGGTCTAGGATAGGCATCAGGCATCGGCGTACCAACACTTCTGGTAAGTGTTACTTTTTATTTTTTTTTAAAGATATAGAATCCCTCTTTTCGTTTATTCTTATTTAGTTGCTACATTAAACCGTGTTTCGAAATATAAATTAGTAAAAAGAAATAATTTGAAAAATTTGATTCAAGTTGATTCTATAAACGTAGAGACCTTTTTCGGAGAAGTAATTTAAGAAAACATTAATCTCTGAATAACGAATAAGATGTTCGATGCGCGTGACAATTATTTAATCGATTCGATTATTTTTATGTTACAGAATATATCCACGCGCTGGAAAAACCATCAGCTTCGCATCGAGGGAACACAATGGACATCTCGAGCATGGACATCGACATCTCGCGGTTTCCGTTGAGCAATAATATGTATGTATGCAAACATAAATTAGTTGCAAAAAGAACAGTCTATAAACTGTTATTTTTTCAATTTATATTTAATCATTATTTTGCTAAATTTTTTCAATAGAAGAAATTTTCTAACTACAAAAGCATATACATATTAGCCAAGAGTGGATTTTTATATATTATATTTTTATTAAATTATATTTTTTATAAAATTATATATTATAATATTTTTATTAATCTTAACGCTCTCTACGAACATATTATAAAAGAAACATAATTTTCTTTTCCTTCTTCGCCACTTCCCTCTCTACGCTCTAGCTTATTGACGGCACTGGTCTGTTTTTATATATTGTCAAGTTTGTCAGTTTAAATTTTACCATGCACCGCACGGCTCTGACATGTTCCTTCGATACAAACAATTAACAAATAACGCTGTTTAATCATTTTTTTACCGTTTTGATTTTGACGCATAAATATATAAGTTTCTGGTTTATATAATTTTTTATGGATTTTTATTTATATTTATTGTGGAGTGCTCAATTTTTGTCGTTTAGTTTTTAGATTTGGCGTAGTTTTGGCATTATGTCAGACAAATTAATATTTGTGAGTAGTGTATATACGCTTGAAAAAGACCGGAATTTGCGGTCAAACGTAGCGTTTTTGTGATAATAAAATTTGGCCAGTTGGATCGATCAAAATATCTTTACTAATTTTTAATTATTCACTGGCGACTCAAGTTCTCAGGTTTTCTTTCTTATTTAGTTCAATATCCTAAAAAACATGTATATGTAAATAACAATGATAAGAATTTTTTTCCGCCAGTGAATATAAAATATCAACAAACTTCCTTGACCATAACTGGCAAATTTATTAATAGATAAAACGACGTTTCGGTTCAAATTCGGACCCTCTTCAGATGAATAAAGCTCTTACAAATACATTCAATTATAAATACAGGCAATTCATGACACTGTGCTCGCAAATCAGAAACTGAAGACTAGAGGCAAAAAAAGAATTTTCCTTTGGTATTGTGATAACTTAAATAAAATAAAGGAAATATAAAATTAGAGTATCTAGTATAGTAAAACTTACATGATTTGTGCATTGTCAGTGTGAATATGGTATGATAATGTAAGATATAAAATTAAAATAGTATAAAATTAAATAATGTACGTACAGCGTGTTAGGAAGCACGTCCGTATGCCACGATTGAGGAGAACACAATGAGTACAGACATAAATAATTTATATTAAAGGTTATAATTAAAGGTTAACTAAGAAGTACCTATTATTCTGTCATAAATTGTTGTTAATTTCTCCGTGTCCTTTTGGAGGTTTATTGCCTGTGTGTTTTTTAATAAAAAAAACGTCTCCGCGATCTCTCTCTTTTTGACATTTTGCTCTCTGTGTAATATTTTCGTTCCCGCCCAATCAAACTCGTGATTAAATTCAAGCCGATGTTTGCTTATTACCGAATGATTACTAACGTGTTTTCTAATATCAGTTTTATGTTCTTTGATTCCAGTTTCGGGGTGTTTTTTTGTTTGTCCTATATATGTAGCATTACAGTCTAGGAAGTCAATTTTATAAACCAATTCAATTTGTTTCATGTAATCCAGCCTATCCTTACTCTTTCTAATGATGTTATTAAGTTTCTTAGGAACAGTATAAATAAGCGACGTCGAACCCGTGACTGCTTAAAACAGCACGAATTTAATTTTATACTATTTTAATTTTATATCTTACATTATTAATATTATTATACCATATTTACACTGACAACGTACAAATCATGTAAGTTACTTAGATACTCTAATTTTATATTTTCTTTATTTTATTTAAGTTATCACAATACAAAAGGGATATTTTTTTTCTACCTATAGTCTTCAGTTTCTGACTTGCGGGGACAGTGTCATAAATTAATCCTGATTCTAGACATTGACATAGCCAAATAAATTCTGAAGAGATTAAAAAAAAAGGTAAATCGGTGAGTGATAATCGTTTTCTAATTAATTTCCTTCAATCAGCCTGATTCATTATCATTAATTGCAACTGGGTCAATAAAAAAAAGGAACAGTGGGGATTCAAACCCGAGTCAAAAATATACCAAGCAGAATACGTGCCGCTACACCACTGACCATTTCTGAAACTACCTTTTGTGACATGATTTATATTTATTAGCAATACATGTTGACTAGCATAGTTTCGATTTTATTCATCAATTACGAACGCTTATTACTCGTCTATAATCCTTTTTTCATAAGTTTGATTTATAATTTTTCCAAAATGACTTGTTTATCGGTAAAAAAATCTGTTTCCTCCAAAACTGATGTCATAGAAAAATATGGTTTCCTTATGAAAGCTCGTTTTCGTGATATTATTTCCATTTGTTATGAAAAATTAATAATTTTTTCAGTAATTGTGACTTTGAGAGATTTTCTTATCCATTCCTATTTGTTTGAATGACCGCTAGTAATGGCCGACAATTGTGCGGCTTTGTCTATTGGCTGTGGAACTCATGATGCGCTTGCCTCACCTTATTTCTTTCCACCATATTATCACCGACGTATAGTTGGCAAACAAATTAAAAATTATTGAAAATTATCTTATCCAATCGTTTGGAAATCATTTGGAGATATTTGGAAAAAACTTTTCAGAGTTTGGAAAACCATACAATAATCACAATTAATTAAAATCAATTAAGCGTATAATTAGCAGAAAATGTCTAAAAAATATTTTTTTTTAATTCAATCGCTCCAGAATCATTTAGATAAAGTGTCGATATAATTTTCATTATTTAGAAAACAACTCTATTCTAATAAAAATTATTTAAAGGTCAATATTTCGTTTTAATGTCTGCACTATAGTGCAATAAAGTGCACATACTTTTCTATGTATGTTTTAATGGTAGACAGGCTGTGTTTCGATATTGACTGTAAGTACTGAAAATCTATAATGTTACTTACGTCATCACTTTTTCAGTACTTTATAGTCTATACTACGGTACTGCTTCAGCGCTGTTCACCGGCCAGTCTCGCCGACTGCCGAGTCTCGAGTTGGCAAATCGACGATGTGCTACGTTAAATTTACAAATATTTATTTAATTATATTTACAATTTATATATATATATATATATATATATATATATATATGTACATATACATAAAAGGTATACGTTTTACGTTCCCAGGTAGCAAGCACTCGTCATTTTGACGTCAATATTTGGTCATAATTGGTCAGTAACGTTATTCGTCGATTATGTGACGTATATTTAACGTCATGTTTTAATACGTCAAAAAGACTTTGTAAAATGACATTATATAGACGTTTAATTGACTACCCAGGTAGCAGACAGTCGTCATAATGACGTGATTCTTACGTCATTTTATGACGCATGTTACGTCATTTATTCCTAAAGTTTAACGTAAAAATGACATTTTTCACAGTATTTTTCACAGGAATATTCCTACATTTATAAAGTGTTTCGTAACTTTATGAACGACGTGGTGAATTTATGGTATAAGTGGATCTAGTTGCGTGTGTAATTATAGTTTTATGACAACTATTTCATGCAGTGTTATAACTATCAAAAAGATATCATTACAAGATTTTTGAACACTTTAAAGATGTACCTGTTATAGACAAGTACAGTTAATAAGGAAACATCAGGGTGAGAAGATCGTCACTGTCCACTGGATCATCGAAGTCAAGCGACTCGGACGCGGTACTGTGCTAGGATGGGTGACCGCCTTGAGAGCGGCTATACGCACATGACATGTAACGAAACAGTTAAAAAAGCTTTTTTTTTTTAAATAAAGAAAAAGAACATTTTTTTGTAAACGTTTATCAAGTAGACATTTTAAAATTTTAATTTCATAAAAAACATTTCTAGAAACCGGTATGTCGTACATTAGACCTATTTTTGCCGTCAATAAAACGTCAGAAAATGACGTCGTTGGGATGTGACTTAGGACCGTGAAAAATACGTCATTTTTACGTTAAACTTTAGGAATAAATGACGTAACCTACGTCATAATATGACATTAGAATCACGTCATTATGACGACTGTCTGCTACCTGGGTTGTTATATATTATTTATCATATATATAGAATATTTAAGAAATATTAAAAAATGTACAGAAGTAAATACGGAACGCATATCTTTATTTTATTTTAAAAATTTATTGAAGCAAAAACATTTTAGTAAACAGTTTATACGAATTATTTATTTAAATTGTTTGTTATTATTTAATAATTTTTGACAGTAATAAACTTGTCAATGACAAAAAATCTTCTATAGAAAGGCCATCGTCTAATCTGTCCCACGCGTTCACAAAAGCATGATTTTTTATAATCCAACTATATCTTAATTTTGTTAAAGGCTTTCCTGCCTTTAAAGCCGTCAGATCTCGACCAGTTGTCGGCTGCAATTCTCCTAATTTTTCTGTAAATAAAAAATTAAAGCAAATGGTATATATCATAATATTTTACGTAATAATTTTTATGAATATATGTATACATAGTTATTCCTCACAATTTATATTAACTTTTACATTTGCAATTTTGCAAAATTGAATGCGTCTACAAAATGCAATCAAATTTTTTAAAATAATTGTTTCTGTTTTTTTTTTTAATAAAAAAACAATAAACATAATTTAGGGAAGTATGCAGCGAGAGTAAAAAAGCAGCGCCAAGTTTTTTTACAAGAAAAATTTACTTATTTTATTTTAATTAAATATTAAATATAATATCGAAAGCGGTGCTTGCAATTGCCTGCCAAAAATGGAATGGCAAAACGTGAAAATAAGCGACTCATTTATTTAAATTATGCAAAATAATTGAAATACTTCATTATTATTACGACTTGAGAGGCACATTTATGATCGAAATTGCAAATAAGTGTTACACGAGTGCCCTGATAAAAATTTTTATTCGCTCAATTTTTTTCAGCTATTGATTGTTTTATCAATATTATATTTCGTTTATAGTCTTTAGTATTTTAATAATTTTTTGAATGTGTATACTTACTCATCTCAACTCAGGATTCTTGTGGAATGTCTTCTTAAATGTTTTCGTAAACGTATAATATCTGTTAAGAAAGACATTGTTTTACTACAATCATTACATTTTGCTTTATATTCCGGTAACTCCGAGTAATATTGCCTCAAGTCGTCAGGTAGCGTGAATGTGTTATTATTGAAAAATATTCCATGTCTATTTAAGTGTCCTATCATTATTGATGTGCTGTTCGATGGATGAGGCATATGAATTTGTATTTTACAAATTGCACATTTTACCAGCAAAGATTTCAATTTCTCGAAATAATCCCACAACTTGCTGCGTTTTTTTTTCGGTGCCATTATAACCGACCTGTAATACAAATTAATCGTTTGATACTAAATGTGATACAGTAAGCGCCTTAAAAAGCGTTTGCAGAATTTTTCACAAATGTAAAAAGAAGGTATGGTTTTTTTATATTAGGGCGTATGTTTATATATAATTAAAATTTTCCTAGTTATCAGATCACGTACAGATAAACAAATGTCACATTTTTATAAAAAGGGTAAATAATGCCAATAACCACATGTACGTGCTCTATTCCAAACTCATTATTGGACAAAATTTTAAAATAATATTTGATGTTATAATTTTATTCGTGTTTTTACTATAAAACTACGATATCAGTATTTTTGCGCCAAGTGAATATGATAAATTAGTAACATCTGATGTTTCTATGAAATATTTACAATGACATCAGAAAGTTTGCATCAAGTGAATGGGATATAAATTAGTAGTAACATTTTCCTAATGATGTTTCCTTATTATAGTTGTTGGGTACGTGTTTTTTCAGAACACGTATACAACAAGTATAATAAAAAAACTTTATTTAAAAAATTCTTGATGTGTGTGTTACTAATTCATCTTGTTCACTTGATGCAAACTTTTGGGTATCATTGTTTTTGTAGCAAGAAACATAAATGAAATTATATGTCAAAATTAGATCAGAATTTTTGTCCAAAGAGAATATATTTATCTCGACAACAATTGGCAATCAATACATAATAGCTTGACAACGTTTCAACCCAGGATCCTTATCAAGTGATTTAACAAAATAGCATAGAGTCAAATAACAACGTCAATAATTAGAATTTAAAAAATGTAACGAAAATTGAATTCCTTATAGTCAGTGCAAAATTTGCAGAGCGAAATAAATATCAAAATACCTAATGAGAAAAAAAGAACCATCGCCAACACACTCTCTGTCTAATGCTTATGAGATTTTGGCAAACATCATACATGAAAGACTAGAAATTAACAGAAAATAAGTATGATGCACAGCAAAACGAGTAAAAAAGAGAGTACTTATTTACACAGAGAATGTTCCACGATATGGCTCCAATTCGTATTGCATACCATACAAGCGAAATTCACAATATCAAAGTGGCATTACACAAAATACCAAAATTACAGAGCCACAAAACAAAACATGTTCGAACGATAGAAGTCTGGAATGAACTGACAGTCTCGCATGTTTAAAAATTAGAAAATTTTTTTTAGTAAAGATTTTGTATGGAGCACGTATACCTGGCGCATTTTATTAACTCTTTTATGAAGGTACGTTTTGTACGGATATTACTCCTTTTACAATTACATGAGAACCATGAAAATATAAAACCTTTGATATATTAATTTGCAAATAAAAAAACATGGACAATACAGAAGTCAACGATTGTTCTGCAGTATGTTAACGTTCTGCAGAAGGATTTGTATCATAACCCGTTGAACTTGAAATGCTTGGTCTGCATCGAAATGTGTTGCAATTGAAAATGGAATTATATAAAATATTAACGCTATAAATTATCTTTTGCAGAAGAGTAAATATTTTAATAATAATATGTCATTATATTGTGTGATACAAGCAAAACAAATAATTACCTATCACGTGCCCTTGTTTCCTTTCTCGATTGTTCACACGTTTGAGGACCCAAGTCAACTGTTTTCTGACTTCGACGTTCTGCAGAAGGATTTATATTGAAATCCATTGAACTTGAAGTGCTTGATCTGCATTGAAATCGGTGCAATTAGAAATGGAATTATTTAAGACATTAACGTTGTAAATTATTCTTTTGAAAAAGAGTAAATATTTAAATATCAAGTTATTATTATATTGTATGATATAAGCAATACGAATAATTACTCTTTAAAAGCGCCTGTTTTTTCTGTCGTTTCTTTAAATGATTGAACGAGCAAGTCAGATGTATCTTGACTTTGACGTTCTGCAGAAGGATCCATACCATTATCCGCTAAACTTGAAGTGCTTGATCTGCATTGAAATACGGTGCAATTAGAAATGGAAAATATGTAAATGGAAATTATTTAAAATATTAAAGTTGTAAATTACTCTTTCGCAATTAAAGAGTAAACATTTAAATATCAAGATATCATTACATTGCAGCATTGTGTGATATAAGAAAAACGAATAATTACTCGTTAAGAGCGCCTGTTTTTTCTGTCGTTTCTTTAAATGATTGAACGGGCAAGCCAGATGTATCTTGACTTTGACGTTCTGCATTAGAAGAATCCATACCATTATCCGCTAAACTTAAAGTGCTTGATCTGCATTGAAATACGGTGCAATTAGAAATGGAAAATATGTAAATAGAAATTATTTAAAATATTAAAGCTGTAAATTACTCTCTCGCAAAAAAGTAAACATTTAAATATCAAGATATTATTATATTGTGTGATATAAGAAAAATGAATAATTACTCATTGAGTGCGCCTGTTTTTTCTGTTGTTTCTTTAAATGATTGAACGGGCAAACCAGATGTATCTTGACTTTGACATCCTGCAGAAAGACCCATACCATTATCCGCTAAACTTGAAGTGCTTGGTCTGCATAGAAAAGTGGTGTGATTAAAAATAGAAAAGAAAGAATAATTATTGAACTACTACAATTGCACGTATTACTTAATGCTATTATGTACTTATTGGCGGTTAACCGTAATGGAGTGATGTTTTGTAAGTGAGAATGAGAAGGAGGAAGAAAGAGAAAGAGATAGGGAGAGAATGTTTTATACCTCAAATTTCTGTAATGCTAATATCAAACAATTAATGTCTGAATTTGTGATTAGTAGATAATAAGTGAAACACGATCGATATGATATAAAATTAAGTTAAGGAGAAAAACTGTTTTAACGTAATTGATCTGTTCTAGTTGCAGTTGAAAGAAATGTACATAAATTTACACGAATAATTTTATTACTTTACTAAAATCCTATCCTGACCGTAAAATGGTGTGTCTTCCTAATTCAACTTATGATTTTTTTACGTTACAATAACGTTCTTGAGTAACGTCACTGAAAGAGACGTTTTTCTTAATAAATAATTTATAATAGAGACTGCCTTAATCCTTTAACTGCTTTGGAGAATACTCGTGCGACGATATTGCCTGTCAGACGCTTTGGTGTTAACTTAGGCCACAAGTTTGTCAAGCAAATTTTCATAATTTGACTACAAATATGATTAAAAATCTAGATTGTTTAATCAACAGCAACTAATGTTTTATTTTCTTGATATTTGAGGTAAGAAAAGAAGTAAAAGGAAGAAATGCGTAAAGAAAAAATACCAATGTATATTTGAATTGTTTTTCTGTGTGATAAATTCGAAAGCATAGAACAACACAAAGGGCAACATTGCAACATTACAATGCTTACGATTTGACTTCTGAGAGTCTAACTAAGTTTCCTAAACAAACGAATTAACTCGTCCGAAGCGTCTGACGGACGATCGTCGTCCGCGAGTATTTTCGTCTATAGCAATTAACGCGGTTAATATGTGTGAGTACACGTTTAAACGTTTTCTAGATTTTCAAAAAGTTTTTATTTTTTTTCACAATTTTGACATCCTGTATTTTGAAAACGAAATAGTTTAGGACACATGTCCATTTAGAGAATTTTTTCTCTAAGCTTTTCAAGTAAGCCAAGGAATATCCCCTTCAAGTTTGTTTACTTACTTAGGAAACACTCTGTATATCTGTCTCGAATTTCTACAGTGTTAATGTCAACCAAATAGACATCTAATTTAAATTTCTGGTCTATATCTATGATGCATAAAAGAACGTGAAATAATCGGCTCAAATTTATTTAAATTATGCAAAATAATTGAAATATTATTTTTATTACTATTTGAGAGACGTATTTATGAGCAAAATGGTAAATAAATATTATATGGATGACCTGATAAAAACTTGTATTTGCGTTTTTTCTTTAGCTGCTGATCGTTTTATTGCATTTATTTTATAGTCTAATAATTTTAATAATTTTTTGAATGTGTACTTACTCATCTCGACTGAGGATTCTTGTGGAATGTCTTCTTAAATGTTTTCGTAAACGTACAATATTTGTTAAGAAGGACATTGTTTTACCGCAATCATTACATTTTGCTTTATATTCTGGTAACTCCAAGTAATATTTCCTCAAGTCGTCAGGAAGTGTGACAGTGTCATTATTGAAAAATATTCCATGTCTATTTAAGTGTCCTATCATTATTGCTGTGCTGTTGGATGGATGAGGCATATAAATTTCCATTTTACAAATTGCGCACTTTACCAGCGAAGGTTTCAATTGCTCGAAACAATTCCACAATTTGCTGCGTTTTCTTTTCGGTGCCACTATGACCGACCTGTAATAAAGATTAATCTGATACTAAATGTGATACAGTGAGCTCCTAAAAAGGCGCTTGCAGAATTTCTCACAAAGGTAAAAAAGAGGTATGATTTTTTTTACTGGGGCGTATGTTTATACGGACATGTAGTTCGAATTTATATAATTACTAGATCACGTACAAATATACAAAAGTTACATTTTTCTGAAAAGGTAAATAACGTCAATAATCAAATGTACGTGCTCTATAGAACTCATTATTGGAAAAAATTCTGAAATAATATTTGATGTTATAATTTTATTTGTGTTTTTTACTATAAAAACAATCGGAGTTTTTGCGCTAAGTGAATATGACAAATTTGTAACATCTGATGTTTCTTCAAAATATTTACAATAATATTCGGAAGTTTGCATCAAGTAAATAGGATAAGTTAGTAGTAACATCTGATTTTCTTAAAAACGTGTCTACATTGTTGTGGATGTTGCCGACAACATAGTATGTGTTACTATCAGAATTGTAGCAACTGAGTGTCCGCATTGGTCGGCAAGTTGATGCCTTCACGATATAACAATTTTGTACAACAACTTGCCAGCAACTTATTGGCAACTTATATGCTGCGGTCTAAAATCGTCTGATTTTAAGACCGCAAAGACAAAATTCAAGCTGTTGCTGTCATGTTGCTGTAATAATTCATAGGATCACACAATGCTGTTATATTGCTAGCAACGCGAAGTAATGCTGTTCTCTTGCCAACAAATTGCTGGCAATACATATATATATGCAGGCAATATTGCCTGCGTGTTGGTTCAAATATTAAATTACTCGACATCAATTGAAGCAAATGTACGGTAAGTTGTCAGCATCATAAGCAATCACAGGTTTGCGCGATTTTGATCAGACACGCTTTGCTATCTGGGAATTTATTTTATTCGTTTGATGCAAACTTTCGGGTATCATTGTTTTTGTAGCAAGAAAGCAATTATAATTGTATGACAAAATTAGATCAAATTTTTTTTTTAATAAAGATTGTGTATGGAGCACGTACACGTGGCATTTTATTTACTTTTTTAAGAACTTACGTTTTGTACGAATATCACTACTTTTTTACAATTACATGAAAACCATGGAAATATAAAACCTTTGATATATTAACTTGCAAATAAAAAAACGTAGACAATACAGAAGCTAACAATTGTTCTGCAGTATAATGTTAACGTTCTGCAGAAGGATTTGTATCATAACCCGTTGAACTTGAAATGCTTGGTCTGCATTGAAATGTGTTGCAATTGAAAATGGAATTATATAAAATATTAACGCTATAAATTATCTTTTGCAGAAGAGTACATATTTTAATAATAATATGTCATTATATTGTGTGATACAAGCAAAACAAATAATTACCTATCACGTGCCCTTGTTTCCTTTCTCGATTGTTCACACGTTTGAGGACCCAAGTCAACTGTTTTCTGACTTCGACGTTCTGCAGAAGGATTTATATTGAAATCCATTGAACTTGAAGTGCTTGATCTGCATTGAAATCGGTGCAATTAGAAATGGAATTATTTAAGACATTAACGTTGTAAGTTATTCTTTTAAAATAGAGGAAATATTTAAATATCAAGTTATTATTATATTGTATGACATAAGCAAAACGAATAATTACTCGTTAAGAACGCCTGTTTTTTCTGTCGTTTCTTTAAATGATTGAACGGGCAAGCCAGATGTATTTTGACTTTGATGTTCTGCAGAAGGATCCATACCATTATCCGCTAAACTTAAAGTGCTTGATCTGCATTGAAATACGGTGCAATTAGAAATGAAAAATATGTAAATAGAAATTATTTAAAATATTAAAGCTGTAAATTACTCTCTCGCAAAAAAGTAAACATTTAAATATCGAGATATCATTATATTGTATGACATAAGTAAAACGAATAATTACTCGTTAAGAGCGCCTGTTTTTTCTTTAAATGATTGAACGGGCAAGCCAGATAGTTCTTCACTTTGACGTTCTGCAGTAGGATCCACACTATAATCCGCTAAACTTGAAGTGCTTGGTCTGCATTGAAATACGGTGCAAGTAGAAATATAAAATATTTAAATAAAAATTATTTAAAACATTAACGTTGTAAATCATCACTTTGCAAAAGAGTAAATATTTAAATATCAAGATATTACTATACTGTATGATATAAGCAAAACAAATAATTACTTATCAAGTGCGCCTGTTTCTTCTGCCATTTCTTTAAGTGATTGAACTGGCGAACCAGATAGTTCTCCACTTTGACGTTCTGCAGTAGGATCCATACTATAATCCGCTGAACTTGAAGTGTAAACGCTTGGTCTGTGTAAAAATGTGTTGCGATTAAAAGTAAATAAGATGAAGTAATTATTAAATATGTCACAATTGTAAGTTACATTTGTGCAGAAAAGTTAATAACTAGTTGGATACCATTACATTGTATGATATAAGTTATAAGCAAAACAAATAATTACTTATCAAATGCGCTTATTTCTTTTCTCGTTTGTTCAAATAATTGAACGGGCAAACCAGGTGATTCTTGAATTTGACATTCTACAGCAGGATTCATATCAATACTCATTGAAATTGAGGTGTTTGGTCTGCATAGAAATGTGTTGCAATTAGAAATAAAATCATATACAATATTAACGTTATAAGTTATTCTTTTAAAGAAAAATAAATATTTTAATAATAAGATATTATAATTGTGTGATATTATATGAACAAAACAAATAATTACCCATCAAGTTCCCTTGTTTTTTTTCTCGATTGTTCAGATTGAAGAACAAAATCAACTATTTCCTGAATTTGACGTTCTAGATTAGTGGGATCCATATCGTGATCTGTTGAACTTGAAGTGCTTGATCTGCATTGAAGTACGGAGCAATTAGAAATGGAATTATTTAAAACATTAACGTTGTAAATTATTTTTTTTGCAAAAGAGTTAATATTTAAATATCAAGTTATCATTATATTGTATAATAAGCAAAACGAATAATTACACATTAAATACGCCTGTTTTTTCTTTAAATGATTGAACATAATAAATAAGTGAAACACGACCGATATGATATAAAATCAAGTTAGGGAGAAACGCTATTTTAACGTAATTGTTTTATTCTAGCTTTAGTTGAGATAAAGAAATGTACATAAATTCACACAAATAATATTATCAGGCTACCGAATTCTGTCTTGACTGTAAAACGGCGTAGCTTCCGAGTTAAACTTATAATATTTTGTGCATTACAATGACGTTCCTGTTTAATCTGATTGTATATTATATCCGTCGTGTTTCACTTATTTATTGCTTATACATATACGCTGCCTGAAAGAAACGTCTTTCTTAATATATAATTTATAATAGAGGTTGTCTTAATGTGAGTACGCGTTTAAAAATAAGACATTTGCGGTCACCAATTAAAACCATAAAAATATAAAATTTTTGATACATAATGTTTGTTATAGAAGGGGACCTCTGCCAACACCCAATTGCTCCGTCCTGAGTTATTATAGTTTTCGTGATTCTGAACATATGTCTCCCGTGTCACAACCACAGAAAATCGATAGATAAAAGAATATGGAGCTCTGAAGTCATTATAGAATCTAAGTGTCTGCCAGAGTCTTTTTCAGATAACCTGATACCTTCTTTTATACGTAAAGGGTACATATATGCGCGTGTATTTGTGAATGTTGAGTGCCTTTATGTATGTGTTTGCGTTATTTGTGTACGTATATGTACACGTATACTTGTTTGTATGAATATTTTTCCGTTTGTGATTAGGTAGAAAATACTCTGTATATACATACTCTCGCACATTAATTTCAATATCTTTAAGAACTATATATAAATCATGCAGTTTATATTTTTGCAGTAACACGAGCGAATTCTATGACCGTTATGATATGCAATCAAATAATTGAACTAAATCGCCATCTACGGTCCGCGCTGGATCTTGGTAGCCAAATTATGATATATTTTTTATGTATTACACATATCTTTTTCCAACATTAATAAACTGCGCACCGACTAGATTTGCTAGACTTATAACACAGTTCCCGTTGGAGTAAAACCCCCTCCCGCCCCGTAATTAAATCAATGCCATTTAAAAAATATATAATATTTGGGCTACCAACATGGCGATTTAGAGAAAGTTTAATTATATATTTGTCTCGAATTTCTGCAATACTAATGTCAAACAAATAATTATCTAATCTAAATATCTGAATTGTCTTTATCTATGATGCATAAAAGAACGTGAAAGCAACCGATACAAATTTATTTAAACTAAATGCGAAATAATGGAGAAATTATTATTAGCACGTTTTGAGATACACATTTATGATTAATATTGGTAATAAATATATGGATGCCCTCACAAAAACTTTTATTTGCTTAATTTTCTTTAGTTATTGATTGTTTTATTATTACATTTATTTTATAATTTTTAGTATTTTAATAATTTTTTGAATGTGTACTTACTCATCTCGGTTCAGGGTTCTTGTGGAATGTCTTTTTAAATGTTTTCGTAAACGTGCAATATTTGTTAAGAAAGACTTTGTTTTACCACAATTTTTACATTTTGCCTTATGTCCCGGTAACTCCGAGTAATATTGCCTCAAGTCGTCAGGTAGTGCGAAAGTGTCATTATTGAGAAATATTCCATGTTTAATTGATAAGTGTGCTCTGAATATTGGCACGAGTCTTGATTGATGAGGTATCTGAATTTCTTTTTTACAGATCATGCACTTTATTAGCGAAGGTTTTAATTCCTCGAAATAATTCCAAGACTCCCTATGTTTTTTTTATACATAAAAGAACGTGAAAATAAGCGAATCAAATTTATTTAAACTACATATGCAAAATAATTGAAATATTAATGTTATTACGAAATATTATTATTATTATTATTTGAAAGGCACATTTATGATCGAAATTGCAAATAAGTGTTACATGGGTACCCTGATAAAAACTTTTATTTGATTAATTTTTTCAGCTATCATTATATTTATTTTATAGTTTTCAGTATTTTAATAATTTTTTGAATGTGTACTTACTCATCTTGACTCAGGATTCTTGTGGAATGTCTTCTTAAATGTTTTCGTAAATGTGCAATATTTGTTAAAAAAGACTTTGTTTTACCACAATCATTACATTTTACCTTATGTCCCGGTAACTTCGAGTAATATTGCCTTAAGTCGGCAGGTAGAGTATCATTATCGAGAAATATACCGTGTCTAATTAATAAGTGTGCTCTAAATATTTTTGAGCGTCTTGTTGGCTGAGGTATCGTAATTTCTTTTTTACAGATCGTACACTTTACCAACGAAGGTTTTAATTGTTCGAAATAATTCCACAGCTTGCTGCGTTTTCCGTTCGGTGCCATTACAATAGTCCTGTAAAACAGATTGTCTGATACTAAATGTGATACAGTGAACGCCTTAAAAAATGCTTGTAGAATTTCTCACAAAGATAAAAAAAAGTTTTTTTTAATTAGAGTGTATGTTTATATAAATATATAATTTAAATTTGTTTCATTTAATTACCAGATCACGTACAGATCTACAAAAGTTAAAAAATTTTTGAATAATATTTGATGTTATAATTTTATTTGTGTTTTTTACTATACTAGACACCACAGATGTGCGCTTCGCGCGCACTATTTAGCTTTAACATTACATACAATACAACTGTCAAAATATACGATGACAGTTGCTCATGAAGTAAGCGCAGTGAGAGAACCAATCGACATCGCGGAAAAGCGACAACAATAAACTTTGATAGATTCGAGTATCGACTTTACATGCCTTGGATGGAAAAACAATATTAGAAATTTTGCACCAAGTGAATATGATAATTCAGTAACCTTTGATGTTTCTTTAAAATATTTACAATAATACCCAAAAGTTTGCATCAAGTGAATAGATTATTAAATTAGTAGTAACATCTGATGATTTTCTTAATAATGTTTTTTTATTATAGTTTTTGTGTACGTGTTCTTTACTAGATCTTTATTATATTTGCTGTGTACGTGCTTTTTTTTTAGAACACATACACAACGAATATGTAGTAATAAAGAAACATTATTTTAAAAATCAGATGTTACTAATTTATCTCATTCACTTGATGCAAACTTTCAAGTATAATTGTTTTTGTAGCAAGAAACACAAATAAAGTTATATGACCAAATTAAATCAAAATTTTTTAAAATAAAGATTGTGTATAAAACATCGTATACCTGGTGCATTTTATTATCTTTTTTCAAAAAAGGTATGTTTTGTACGGATATCACTCCTTTTTTTACAATTATATGAGAACCATGGAAATATAAAAATTTCGATATATTAATTTGCAAATAAAAAAACGTCGACAATACAGAAGCAAAGGTATTGTTCTGCAGTATTTTAACGTTCTGCTGAAGGATTCGTATGGTAACCCGTTGAACTTGAAATGTTTTTATTGGTTTGCATTAAAATACGGTGCAATTAGAAATGGAATTATTTAAAATATTAATATTATTTAAATAAAATATTAAATTATTCTTTTGCATAAGAGTAAGTATTTCAAAAGTAAGATATCATTGTATTGTATGATATAAACAAAACAAATAGTTACCCAATACGTGCCCTTGTTTCTTTTTTCGACTGTTCACACGTTTGAGAATCCAAATCAACCGTTTCCTGACTTTGATATTCTGCAGTAGGATTTGTATCAAAACCCGTTGTAATTGAAGTGCTTGATCTACATTGAAAAAGGGTGCAATTAGAAATGAAATTATGTAAAATATTAACGTTGTAAAATTACTTTCGTATTTTAACGTAAATGTTCTATTCTAGCTTTAGTTAAGATAAAGAATATACCCCAGCAAAAATGTTTTATATAAAAACATATTTAAATATATATAATCATATAATATTAAGGGAATACCCACAGTTACGTCACGTACACTATAGCATTTTAGTTAACTAGAGAGAATTTTGGAACGCAGCCCTGGCAATTAAAGCGGATAGGTGTTTTTTGCTCATCTATATATAGATATTAGATAAAGCGCTATGAGTCTCTGCAGGAAGAACAAGCGATCGGTCGCCGTCATCGCCGATGCCATACATGGCAGTGCGAAAGAACGTGATTGCTCTTGTGCGTTTTTTATGAGGAAAAAATAAATTTTGTGTGTTTTCTTGCGATTTTCGCTAAGGTAGCGTAGCTTGATTATTAGTAGTAATTGTTCCTTAACCACTATGAATGTTTTTTATTAGAATTCTCTGTTTTTAAAACTTTACTAAAGTTTAAAATTTTTTACTTGTTGCTTATACTTATTTTAACTTTTCCTAGTTCACGCCAAGTAAGTCCTTTGGGCAAAGCGGATAAACCATATTCTCTTCGGTCACAGGCTGGTATTCATAGTCAGATTTTATATTTAAAACTGTCTTAAGTACAATCTTAAGATGTCATAAAGCGTCCATAAACCAATCACAGAGTCGTATTAGCATCTTAAGTCATTATACTTAAGAAAGTCTTGAAATAAGAACGAATTATGAATACGGGCCATATTTGTGACTGCTGTTTTTTTTCTGTTTTAAGATGGTTTTTTAATACAAATGTAAAACAGACCAAGCGAAATAAACGGAGACCTGCAGTTCCAGTGACTCATCCGTTTTACCCATAGGTGTCGGGTAAAGCGGACAGTTTCTTTTACTTTAATTTTTGATTGCAAAGAGGTTTAACTATTTTATTTTTTTTTATTTTATTTAAAAATTGATTACTTTGAAAGGATTATTAAAATAAAAAAAGTTTTCAATCTTTAACTGTGTCTTTCTTCTTGCTAAACCTTAACACACATCCGCGCTGCCTGGGCTTCCTTTGTATAAAATATTATATAAAATGTGTCCGTATATGTCCATACTATGTTTTTTCTCTTGTATAATTTCTGTTTGTATGTACAAGAAAAATAATAAGAAAAAGAATTAAAAAATAATTAAAAGGATAATTTTTGCATTGTTTTTTTTACAAAAAAATAAAGTCTGAGCAAATGTGAAAAATTTGCTCATATATAATTATATATAATTGTATTTTATATACATTACATTTTATATGATTATATATATAGGCAAATAAATGAACGATAAAAAACAATGCAAAAATTATCCTTTTATTATTTTCTAATTTTTTTTTCTTTTTATTTATTTTTATTTTTCTTGTACATACAAACTGCAAAGATTATACAAATGAAAAAAAAACATATATGGGCATATTTTGTATAATATTTGTATAATATCATATAATTAGGTATATTTAAATATGTGTTTAGTTTATATGAAAAATTTCTTACCGGGACACGAATTCACAAAAATAATTTTATTAAACTACCAAATCTCTTGTCTTGATTGTAAAATGGCGTATCTCCCCAATTAAACTTATGATATTTTGTACGTTATAATAACGTTCTCATTAATTTGATTTCATACTGTAT